CGACATAATTTTTTAAGTGTTTTTTTAAATATTAATGCGTGTTAACAATAAGAATTATATGTATTGGACATAATTATAATTAATGATACTAGAGCACTTGTATGATTTCATATAATAGTAATATATTAATGTATTTATTTTTATCGAATTAAGAGAAGTATTAATTATATATTTAATATCTATTTATTTACTTATATTAAATATGCATAAAATTACATATTTAATCAAAATTAATTAGAATTATTAATTAAAACACATATCTTCTAATATTAATTAACGGAATTATTTTAGCAATTATCAGTATTTATAATAATAATAAATTTTTTATTTTTATGTTTTGCTCGCACCTTCTTTACTAATTTTTCTCGCGATTAATTCTCGAATTAATTTCTTAGCAAAATCACGTATAGAAGTGACGTGAAATTAATTAGAATTACTTTGGAGAACACGCTCTCTAGTGGCGTGTCTCTGATCGACGACTCGAAGTTACTGGCTTCTGGTGATGTGTCTGGCTAGCGAGAACTACGCGAGGCTATTTCGGCGTACGCTATTTTGAGATATTGTCGATCTTAATGTGGGTGCCTGTGTACCGCGGCAAGACGGGACCGCGTAACGCCTTCCCTCATAGGTGACGACGTAAATTTACCTATGTCCGGATTAAAGTAACCAGATCATGCTTGCTGTTACGCTTCGCTCTCATTAGATTTCTAAAGTTACGCATTATTTGGAATTTATAAGTGCTATTATTATTTTGAGAAGGAAACAAGAGTTTATAGAAATAAAAACGTGTAGTACTGACGGTAAAGAATATATTTGTTAATGCCGTCATTTGTGTCGGTGCGTAGTAAACTAATTAAATGCTAGACTACGTTACACTTTACGCTAGATCGGTAGATAATTACGTTCTGGTGATGAGCGATCTTTTAGAAAAAAAATCAATTTTTTTAATCGATCTTGAATCTGAATAACTATTATAGAATAATTAGAATCGATTTACTAATCTTAAATAAAAGAAGTGATTTCTTAAAAAATGATCCAAAAAATCGCATGCAAGTTTAAATTTTAAATGATTAGAAATCAACACATAAAAAGAAAGAAAGGGCATAGAATCGATTTTTGTAGGAAAAATTTTTTTTTTAAATCTCGAATCGAGATCGCCCATCACTAATACGTTCGGTCTATTGCTACGTGAGCTATCTAAGTTAACTATATGTACAAAATTCAGATCGGCGATGTACAAAATAGCGGATGTAGGATTCATACAAGACGAGAGTGTCAATTGATAAATAATCTCGAGTTATGTCGGTGTCACAATGATAGTAAGTACAATGATGATAATGATTGAAGAAATTTCTCTTCGCACGCTCTAGGAGAATACTTTTAAGTTCTAATTTCTTAAGGCGAGAAAGGGAATCTTTGGGAAAGGGTATCAATCTGATATCTTATGCATTATTGTGTGATAATATCATATACGAGTCTTACTCCGCAATAATATTTAATAGATAATAATTACTGAAATATTAATATTAATATAATATTCTGCAATTTTTTTGTACGTTGTGTATTATACAATAATGTCAATGTATTTTTGCTTCTTGGGACTTTTTCCGGTTGAACGCTGTCGATTAAAAAGACTTGGCATGCCAAAAACAGGAAACAGACGACACCATTTGATACTGAATGTAAATGATATAATTAATACAAAAAAGATTCCAGATGAAATAAAATATTACAAAAAATATTCAATGTGGTTTACATTGTAAGATAATTTATATACTGAAACAATCTCCTTTCCTGAACTCGTCGAATCTATAGCATTTCGCTCCTCTTTAAAATCCGCAGCGTTCAATTCCACTCAGAAATATATTCCCTGTAAATCCTTCGCGAACATAATCTTTTGTTAAATGCAACGGACGAAGATCACGAAAATCGTCTCGCGATCGTCACATCGTCATCCTTACAATTCTACGTCTTTATTTACATCCGGGAAACGTCCGGTGTCTTCGCGGGATAATTATCATTATTAGAACCCATCTCTTACATGTTCGTAGGATTCAGAAGTTGCGCCCTTAGAAGTCATATGAGCCCTCGTCCTCCTTGTTGGCTCTCAGGCCCAGCCTGTACACGCCGCCGGCCACGCCGCCGCCGATGAGCGGGCCCACCCAGTAAATCCACAGATTCTTGTACTCGTCGTCCACCACGGCCGGCCCCAGGCTCCTGGCAGGATTCATGCTGCTACCGGTGACGGGCACCGCCGCCATATGGGCCACCGAGATCGTCAGGCCGATCGCGAGCGGGGCCCAGCCCCTCACATCGGTCCTCTTGGGATCCGTGACGGCGTGAACGACCAGCACCAGCAGAAACGTGATGATTATTTCCATCCCTACGCCCTGGCCAGCGGTCACCTCGGTGTGCAGCGCGGTGAGACCCAGGCCGCTGGCATGCGTTTTAGGTATAATCAGCTGCACGAAAAGACGATTCGGTTAGACAAGTCGGACTTTCTTGGCAATCCTAATTATCGCCGAATTGCAGTGAGACACGAAAGCGATACCATTTTCCATTTTCTTCCATATATTATTTAGGTTTCTTCTCTGTACAAATTGGACGGTAGGGTACTAATTGTAAGATGAAGATGAAGATGAAGTATGCAATGTCGATTTATTCGTCGGAATTAATTCGGGGTATAAAAGGATACGCAAATTACTATCATGCACGCATGCACGCACGTGCGCTGCTGTCTCCTCGCGAGTGATCCAGCTGGTCGGCCGCGACCAGTTTCTGATGTAATGGGTGTTACGGTCGACCAGAAAGAAGAGAGAGAAAGAGAGAGAGAGAGAGAGAGAGAGAGAGAGAGAGAGAGAGAGAGAGACCGGGGAGAAGAGGCGGACCTTGACCTTGCGCAACGGCGATTTAATTGATACGGGTAAGACGAGGCACTTTCGGGACCCCGCGCCAAATCGAAATGACAGGCTATCAACGATCAATTTCACGCTTCGGCCGGACGATCATTGTGATTACGCCGCGCGTGTAAGGAACATAAGCGCGTTTAAATGAAAACGTCGGACGCGCGACGCGCCGACGCGATCTCCTCGAGTTGCATTTTATAACTTATACAACGCAGTCAACGGTGTTCAGTAATTTAAGCTCTAAATAATTCCAACTAGCAAAATAAGAAAGAATTTAATTTTTAATAATCCCGTTTTCATGGCCTAATTAAATAATAAGAATCGGAGATTAAATAATACGAAACTTAAATTGCCATCTAATCTGGCCGTTTTTTTGTTGTGCATTCGGAGAATTTTTTTAGGAGATATGGAAATCAATTTTGAAATTATTATATATTTAGATTAATTTTCTTAAATTAAAAAAAATGAATCGCAGTAAACTTTTAAATTCTACGTACATTGAGAACAGCGGACCCCGCAATAGCGCCGCAACACTGGCAGACGATGTAACTGATAGTTTTGAGAAGACTGCAATTTCCGCTGATCAGCAGACCGAACGACACAGCCGGGTTTACGTGACAGCCGGAAATCGGTCCTAGAACCTAAAAATAGAAAAAAGATATTGTAACATCTCGTTAACAAGGTAATAATAATTTGTTTTAATTTTCCGCGTTTTTTCTCTTATAAAACTAAACAGTAACATTATAACCCGCACAAACGGAAATGCATAGATCAGGAAATAAGATACGATCCTTTCGTCGTAATTTTACATTTATAACTTTAAAGATCCTTACTTTGTCAGTTATGGTTACGATTATATCACGCTATCGTCGTGTCGAATCTTCCAGCATTAGAAACCATCGCGGGAGTGGTTTACGATCCATTTTTCGATCGGCGAACTTGCTAATAAAACTCGGGCCGTGAGAAAATTTCTAAAGCCTCACTTTCGCAATTGCGCGGTCCCACGCCCGAAGAGGAGTAGGGGAAAAAAGAGAGAGAAAAAGACAAAATTCATTTCTTAAATTTATCTCGGACAGTTTCTCAACGATCAACGTCGCCGCGTTTTGACAATCCTACACCGTGTGTATGTGTGTACGCCTGCTTGTAAATTCCCTTTACGTACTCGGCATATAGTTACGCAGAGCTCGCATGGACGACTCGAAACGATCTCGAGCGCCCGACCTTCTCGTAGATAGCTGGATGAGCGATCTGCTTAGGAGTCTGAGATTATTTTGCGAGATAATTTCAATAAAAACGCGTTGTATTTAAATTAATGCGAATAATAAAGTAAAAAATAATCAGAGACGATAAAAAAAATATCCTAGTGAACATATAGTGTCCCAAATCGAGACATATGACGTCTTAAGACGTCTTATGTCCCGATTTGGAACATGCGTGTTGTCTGGGATAATTCTAGGTTCCGCTACAGTTGCACAAGTATTCGCGAGGTGTCTGGACACGAGCCTTCAAGCCGGGGCGTAAACGCGATGCATCCAGAGCAGTCGATGTTTGATTTATAGTGGCATTGCGTGTGGTTGCTAATCGATAGCAGATGGTGGCCGTGGCAGATAAAACGCGAACCGATCTAATTCACGTGCGCAATTTGCACACACAAATTGCTTGTAATGTCCGCTTGTAAGCTCACTTCGCAAATTGCTGGTAAACTTCCACCTCTGGTATTAGCGCATTTTGCATTAATAATAACGTCGTTCAAAACGCGATTGTAGCGCACGATATAAGTCGCATTAGACTTAACGCGCACGCAATAATCGACTATTTTGTTGCAAATAACATATCGTGCGTTAAAACGATAGTTCGATAAAAATTCCTAGCTACACCAGGATGCGTCAATAATTGCACCTGGAAAATGATCAATCAAACGAACGTGATGCCCTTTTCGCGTTTACGCAAACATGTACGTTTCGATCTTATTTTGCACGCGTATATAATAAATTATTTTACAAATAACGTACAACTATATTCATTAAAATGAATCAATTTAATAAAAAAAACCTAGGTATGTTGGATAATTATCTTGGAATGAAACAAAAGCATTACCCTTTTTTTTCGGTGCATCTTACAGGTTCATCTTAATTACGGAATTCCTCGGATTAATCCGGCACGCGAGACTCCGCAGATTCCGCGGCGTCGCTCGCTGGACTCGTCTAAGTCCCTCGGCTTGGGCCCGCTGGGCCTGGAATACGGCGCGGGCCCCGACGCACCGCGCCGCGGCCCAGTTCTCATGCACGCCGGCAAGGTCTCGGCTCGCCGCGGGCGATCGGCACACATATGCGCCGACCACGATTACGCAAGTGTTCCTCTCTCTCTTCTCTTTTGTCCCTTTATTTCTCTCGATCCTCTCGGTCCCCGTCAACACGCTCGCTCACCGATCCGCGATTTCCGACAATTCCCGCCGCGAATCCCGTCGAGGCATCGCGCGAGAGGTATCCTGAATTTGCACCACCGTTTATTCAAAATTCGCCGGGGAAACTCGTTGGAAGATTCGATCGATTGTTATCCGCGGGAAAGAAAAAGTATCGCGAACAAATGTACAGGGTGTCCCTGAGGCGGCCGCTTTTAACTTTAACGAGAGCCTCTTTTTAATGAGAGTCTCCTTATTATAATAAAAGATTTTGACCGAGAATTGATTCGCCATTGAAACGCCGGCCGGGACCGACAGAGTAAACGGGAGAGACAGATTTTTTTTGTGCGCGCGCGGGTCCCACACAAGCGGGACCGTACGACTTGGCCTTGCGGATTGCCAGATGAGATGAAAAATCCTCGTGTCTTACGGCTTTAAGTGACACGTACCTACTCACGCGACGCGTGAATCCGCTTGGGCCCCCGTATAGGCATAAAACGCGTCATATTTAAAGCGCGCCCTAAAAGGGAAAGTTATGCCACTTTTCGCGACTCATCGACCTTGTCTTCGCGGCGTTGTTCCGAGAAAAGCAATAAACGAACCCCCGGATGCCCGCGCGAAATTTGCACGTATCTCGGCGGTTCTTATTTTGCCTTATTTTGCCCTCGCGCACCTATTTCGAGATGCTTTGTATTTTTCAGCCATCGTGTGATTGCTTCGTATTTCTCAGCGATCAAATGTGATTGGTTGAAATCATTGGTTGTGTTGGTCGCAAATCTTACTTGTCTCTCAATTTCGGATTTTTCGATCTTCAGTTCATCTTCCGATAAAATAAAATAGAAAGTAAGTAGAAATTAAGCGATAATCCTGTTCAAAATTTCTTTGAGACTTATTTCAGTGAAATGTGGCTATATATTCAAGAACACGGAAAAAAATGAGTTTGCAATAGTAGCTAAATTCCAGTAGCTGAATCAAGCTTAGCTGTAAGAGCTAACACCTTAGTATCGTAGCTAAACTTTGGCTATTATAGGAAAAAGTAATTAGCTGCCACGTAAAAATTTATTAGCTGAAATAGAAAACGTAATTTAGCACAAGCGGCTAAAAAGTAGCTAATAAGCTAAAGGCTTAGCTAATAAGCTAAGTAGCTAAAGTAGATAATTCAGCTAAGCGACATTTGATCTGTTGTAGCAAAAATTTGTTGCTATAGTAGCTAAGTTTAAATAGCGAATAAATTTAGCTGGGACAGCAACAACATTAGCTGTCCCTAGAATAGCGACACATCTTAGCTGTCACAGCTAAGTTTTAGCTCCAGTTGCTAATCCTTTTTTTCCGTGAAGCCGGATCGTAGCCCACGCAGATCTTACGATTTCGGATTTTTAAATTTGCACTTTCGGTGAAATTATAAGTGAAAAATACGGAAGTCCCAGTCTAAAGTTTCTTGGACAGTCAAATGCGGCTGTTCGAAAACCTACGCAGATAATAAATCTTCACTTTCAGCGAAACTAACTGAAAAAATGTAGTAATTTTTCATTCCAAGTTTCTCGGGACAGTCGTTTTAGCCGATTATTGGACTCCCCATGGACTCTTCACGCGGTTTCTTTAACGTACGTTCTTAAATTAGAGATCGAACGAAAAATAAAATTAATTTCCAACATCCGTTCCGGCACACCGGTAGGTCGCACAATCTCGAATTATCTTGCGGTTTCGCGCCCTCGGGGCCTTACGACCCACAGCCCGCGGTCATACGCTCCCGTCTGCAAAGTGCGCAGGATCGGATTCGAAGGGGATAATACCGCGAGCTGTTGCAGACCGTTTGACGAGAAATAAATGATGAACCAAAACAATAAAAGAAAGAATAATAAAATAAAAAACGGGATATCAATGCGGCAATCGTCGCGTTTTTCTCTACTATTAAGGAAAGGCAACTTTTACACAAATAATCCTGGCTTAGAGTCTTTATAATATCTCTTCATTTTTTTGTATATGAATACTGAAATGTAATAAAATAAAGTATGATCAAATAACGGTCACAATAAGATGCGATTATTAATAAATATGAAATATGATATCCTATTTGATAATAATAGAATTACAAAGCAATGGAATTGCATCATAATATAACTACATAATACATAATACCGAAATAAAATAGAATAATGAAACCGCGCACATTTTCGATGCATTATTAATCGCAGTCCCGCTTTCTTATCGTCGACGAAACTCATCGCGGACGGGATAAATCCGAACCTGAAGATGCATATATTCGCCGTGCACGTGCCACGTTCCTTTTTCGCGCGAACGAGCGTGCACGTGTGACACACGTTGCTGAAACTTCGTCACGAATTAGCGGCGAACAGGTGCAAGGAGGATCTCGCGCACGGTAAATTATTCCAGAAATACGTCCGTAGAATATACGATGATAGGCAAAGCTGATCGCCTTGAATCACTTTACTGTCTCTCCTCCGTGGCGGATCATCTCTTATTGTCATCCAAATGACGGAGGTCGAAGGCTGATGCTGAATTCGCGGTAAAACCACAAGAGATTCTCGAAGCCGTGAGCGCGTGAAATGGAAAAAGCGTCCAATCCCATGAGAGCTGTTGACCCTTTTCAACTTTATTCTTTCAAAACTGCATGAACAATAGCGAAATATTGCGGTATGATACCAGCGATATGAACTAACTATAAATGATAAATTGATACGTGGCATTCGCTACCAGCGAATTATTTATGTACGTCCATTCGATTCCCGATGCGTCGCATTGGACAATTAATTTAAAATATTTAAATGAAACGTCAAGATAAATTCCATTGTTATTTATATATATTATATATATTTTTTTTTTGTACGATTCAAATCACGATCGTGATAGTGCCGTGAAACCTAAGATATTAATGATAATAAATAGTAGCGCGAAAAGAAATGAGATTGAGACGTCGAGAAAGTGTTTCACGCCAATAACGCCAGAAGGATCGGAGGGATCCAGCATTAACGAGATGCGTGCAAATTTACGATGCAAATTACGCGTCTCTCTCTCCTTTTCGAGAGACACGGACCGTCATCGTCCGTCGACTCGTTCGAGAGTTAAATACGACGGAGCGCGAGCATTAAATAATGGGCCCCGCCAACGTATTGTCAGTAATTACCGTAAGGTGTCTGGCCCCGCTGTTCCGTTACAAATTTGTACACGCTGTCGGCGGCACTCTTACTGCGCGAAGCTGCAGGATCGGATCCGCAAACT